GATGGAGTTAGCTTCTTGCATGCTCTTAAAGCTTCATTTTATAACTCTGTCTTGTAACCTCTGTCATGGGTCTCCTGTTGGTTGGAGGGGTGGGTAGTAAACTCGGGTGAGCAGCAGTCGCAGGCTGCTCTGCAAACCTGGGGTTTTGCCTTTCTCTGGGCTCAGGCAACTAACTGTGTCAGTGCTCTTATCTGCCAGGACAAGCATATTGAAGAGGTCCGAAAGAACAAAGAAGGCAAAGACCCCGGTGAGGCCGAAACCGACTGACTTCCTTCTGGAAACTGACTCTCCCCCTCCTCTAAATATCCAAAGACTGTACTGGCCAGTGGTTTTTCTTTTTCTTTTTTTTCTTTTTTTTTAAGTTTCTAGAAACTGATGTAGAACTGTAAAGTTAGATCCAAACTGTACACTTTCTTTGGGGGCTAGAGGGGAGACCTTCCATGTTTCACTTTTCTAAAGTGTTGTCTTTCCAGTGTAGCTATCTTCTTGTTGCATCCTTTTCTACTCCAGAGCGCTTGCTGCTGGGTTGACGGCTAGTACTGTATCAGCTCTGTAAGACTTTGTGAAAGGAATATGTATTATACTGTTCCATGCTGAATATTTGTAACACTTCAAAAAGCTGATTCTGTCCCAGTCTAAAATACTACTGTAACTGAGTGACTAAATAAAGCTGCACAGTGCTGTTATCACGAGAATTATTTCTGAAAGTAAGACAAAAATGAGTTAGCTGAGGTCCAAGAGAGATGTCCTTCACCACCACTGGATAACAAGGCGGTAGCAGCACTTCCCTAACATCCATGGGAATGCTGCACGCCTGCCTCTTCCTTAGAGCATTTCCATTGTCTTAATTTTACAATACGAGCCTTGTCTGGACACCTCAGCAGTGTCAGCTGGTGTGTGTTTTTGCTCAAAGGGTTCAGAACCACCTCCCTTTGGATGCTGACCCTTCCAACAAGCAAGTCCTTGTTCCCACATGACTCCAGGCCTTTTTGTTTGTGGGCTTTTTTTTAAATGGAAGGACTTGTAGAAGCTTAATTCTGCTATTGAAGGGTGACTTTTGCATCATATAATGTTAGAAAGCTTAGAAGTGCAAAAGGCTGGTCTGTTGGAGACCATGGCCTGCCTAAACAGAAAATGCTGCTGTAGGTGAAATGTGTTTTTAAAAAGGTGTCTGTTGCAGACATGTCTGGATAGTAAATGGTGCCCCAAAGTGAAGCTGAAGATAATTCTTCCTCACAGATGCATATAAAAATAATTGAACTACTGCACTTGTGCTGTGAATAAGGATGCTTTTAAGGTGGATTAAGTGGTTGAGTAGGATTAAGGAGGTAAGTAGCCACCTGCCTAAAGCTGCTTCCATATAAACACCCTCTTCTGAAGGAGCTTGGCAGAGCTGCAACTAGAGCTGGATTTGACGAACTCTGCTCGTGTAAAGAGCAGAGCCAGTTCTGAAATTCAAGTGTCAAATCCTTGGGTTTAGGTCATGTTTTTCCCCTGGTTTGTGCCCTTAAGCTTTAGGTTATGGTATTTTCAAGTTCGTCACACATCTCTATCCTCTGGCACGGGACAGGTAATGGCTTTGGATAACATGTGGCTGGAAAACCTAGTAGTGGCCAGGGTTTTGCTTTGACTTTGTGTTTTGCAGGGCTAATGAGTAGTGGGGCCTTGGCCTTCTGAGACTCGCCAAAGAGGGGACCTCCCTTCAGGCTTTATGTAGCACTTACTGCCTCAGACTTGTATTTAACTAGCCAAAAATGAAGGGCTGCTGTTTCAACAAAAGAAGAAAAGTTCAGGCTCCAGTGGGATACTGTCAAGCCCAATATGCTTAGGTAGCTGGAATCCTTTCAGAAGCCCAGGAAGCTTCTGAATTCGAGGTAGGACAGACTGGTCCTACCTCTCAGCACCCAGCACTCCGCGGGTTTTCTAAGGGCACTTACTGGCCTTGCACAAGTCACAATTAGGGCCTACCCCGAGGAGGTGAACAGGACAACAGAAGAAGAGCTAAAGCTTAAGATGGACTTAATTCAATTGTGCAAAAATGTGTAGGAAAGATGTTGAGCCTATCTAATTTTACATATAATTAGCAGTCAACTCCCCCCATCAACCTACTGATTTGCTGCCTAAGAAGAGCCCAGTGCTCCACCGCCTTCTCCCCTCTAATTCAAAGTCGGGGGCAATGAGAATGACAGCACTGCCAGAACCCAAACGCTTAAGCAAGAAAAGATGAGAAAGCAGGAGGAGTTTCCTACTTGCCAAAGCTGTCAGCTGTGGGCAGGAGGCTGCTCTTCAGTCTGGGTTCCGCTTCATGGGGCTTCTTGTGCTGAACGGAGCTCGATGCACAGGGCCCAGTTCCTCCAAGAGAGCAGCTGCAGGGAGGGAAGGTTGGAGGACACAATGAGGATGCAAACAGGAAGAGGGGGGTAATATCTGCGGAAAAGACCAGGGGAGATAGGGCGGAGAGCCGAGGAGAGCCCTGCTCTGCTGGCCTGTTGCATGGGCAGAGGGTGGCTAAGGTCAGGGCGCAGCCCTGCAGCAGCTGTGGAAGGGGGTAACCCCGCAGCTCCTGCGAGGCTGCAGCCCTAAGGGACAAACGCACGTCCTTTTTGTCACCGCTGCTTCTTGCATAAATCCCCCGGAAGGCACGAGGAGCACAGGGCTCTGGGCAGGGGCGCTGGCGCCGCAGCTCACGCAGGCCTCCAGCTCGCGGTGCGGATGATACAGGGGTAGTGCACAGGGAGCGCGGAGTCGCTGCTCACCCTTCTTGCTCCTTATTTCTTTCCCTGTTCCTGGGGAGGGTGGAGGCAGCAGTGAGGCCCCCAGGGCAGCCCACGGAGCCTCCAGGAGCAGCGGCCTCGGCAGGAGCCGCATGGGGCGCCCGGCAGGAGGAGGTGCCCGCACAGCAGGACCTGCTGGGTCCTCGGCAGTGACCCGGCCACACAGGACTTTGACCCAGCGCACGTGGCAGTCCCCAAATCGCGTTGCCTCTGCGGGAAGCGGAATGGCATGGGGGACAGGCCGGTCCCCGGCTGCCCTATGGAAAGGTCGTGTAAGTCACATAAAGCTGCTGCGCCGGGAGGATGGAGAGGCTGGCGGGCCCGGAGCCTGGACACGACTTGCACACAGGCACCTTGAGCTGAGTCCAGGGGAAGCTGAATAGAAATATATACATAGTCATCCATGTTCATGCTTCAGGAAGATAATGACAGCTGTGCACACGAGAGCAAACAGCTGGAGACTGACGATCTCCCTAGGAAAATGCAGCAGGATGGGTGGATGCTCCTTGAGAAGGGAAATACTCCAATGGAAACAGCCGGTGTCGGAGGCAGCGTCACGAGGAGGTTGCGGCTCTGGGGCTGTTGTGAGCCAGGCTGCCGACAGGACCATTCACAGCGCAGGATGTTGCTAACCGAGTTTTGCAAGAGCCTCACAGATTAAGTCTTGCTCAAACAAGTTTCGGAGCTCGCTCGTGTAAACACAGCTCTGTATCCTGCCGGGTTGTCCCAGCAGCTCCCTGGACAAAGCCTGGGGGCAGTTTTTCCGCAGGAATTCTCGCAGCCCGCCCTGACACGGTCCAGTCTCCTCCTCGCTTCCCGTGGGGCGGTCCCGCTCGGGGACGGGCGCAGAGGTCGGTGCTCCGCACGGCTCCAGGGTTTCTCCGCTTCCACATCGCCCGCGGGGGCTCCCCTCTGGAGCAGCCCAACGCAGGAAGCGCCGCTCCTGCCTGCATCCCCTCGGCAGCGCCCAGGCCGGCTCGGCGGAGCCCTCGCGAGCCCGGAAGAGGTCGGTGCCGGTGAGTTCTCCCCGGCAGCCCTGGGAGCTGGGCCGGGAGCGGAGTCGTCTGTGAGGGGAGGCCCCGGCCGGGCCCCTGCGCCGGGCTGGATGCAGGAGCCGCCTGCCAGGTCGGGAGAGCGGACAAGGCAGGAAGGAGGGAACCCGCGACCCGCTCCCACCTGCGCGTGTTAGGTCCGGTATCCGAACTGACAGGGAGAGAGACAACCACCATAGATATATTGTCTTTTATTAATAGAAGAAAGATAATAAGTATTACCAGCTAGCTGGGGTCCGGGCTTTCCCACGCAGGGGTCACACCACGGACCCCGACCACTTCGGGCGTCCCTCTTTTATACCGTTCTTACCCAAGAGTGTTCCCCCTCCCGTTTTCCTGTTTTGCATTCTTGTTCATGTTATCTATTTTGCTGAATTAAAACATCTGGATAAGCAGCCCCCCTATCATCCTGATTGAGGGCAGGGCACCCTAACCCCGCCACCTATCAAGGGTCCAGACCTTGCCATGAGCAGGGCATCCTGACCCTGCCATCTATCAAGGGTTCTGCCCCTGCCATGAGCAAGACATCCGGACTCTGCCAGTTATCATGGGTCCTTGTGCTCTAAGACTCAGCTTATTCTACATTAGCTATTTAACCCCTACCTTCCCTGCTAATGCACCCTACACGCGGAGCTCCTGGTGCCGGGCAGGCACGGGTTATGCAGCTATCGGGCCCCTTCTGATGAGGAAATAGCTCATTTTTAAACAAACAGCCCCATCTCCTCCTATTTCCAAACTTTGCAGAGCTTTTCCTATCTGAGCTGTCCCGCAATGACTCACCTTGCCAAGAATTGGGAGTATAAACAGCCCAGCAACCGGAGGGAGTCTGGCCGTTGTCTTTAAAACTTGTTTGAGCAAATCTGGTGAGCCCAGCCAGGAGAAGAGCAGAAAAAATCCCCTAGTCTCGGGCTTGTTCCTCTTGGTACGTTTCTGAGGCCGCTTGGCAGGGAACAGCCAGCAGCACTTCTTGCTTTGCCTTTTATTTTTGGCCTTTATTATTTACTGCATTTATTTCAGGTGTTACAACGAGGCCCTCCTCTTCGCATTTGTGACTTTACGCATCTGAAGCCAGTAACATTCAGCCTCTCCTTGATTTTGCTCAAGTTCCTGTTAAGCACCGCGGTAAAACCCTCTTCTCGTCCCCAAGGGTGCTGTGATCAGCCTTGGCGGCATCATGGCGACCGCGGCCACCGAGAGGCTCAGCCGCCTCATCTTCAACGTGCGCCACGTCCCCCAGCTGCTGTTCCCGCCGTCCCCGTCCACCGTGC